TTCCTGCTCCCCACAGATCAATGAGGCCAAAGTCTACCTTTACTTACACCTGTGCAAAATAACTGGATTACTGAAACTCTCCCACTGATGAATTTAAGGGCAAGTACCTGTAGATCTTACAGAAATGTTTGGTGTTGACACTTCCCTCCTCACTCACCAGATGTTGGCAACACAAAGAGCATCCACAGGCCCTCACAGTGCATATTGGCAAGCTGAGCTGATGATCTCTGGAGGGTGCACTAGAACTTCTGGGTACATCTGGGACTTCTACTGACCTCACCTCTCTCAAAAAGACTCCTGGGGTCAAACAAGGATTCTCCTCAATAGGCTTTGGAACAGGACCCCAAGAGCTGTCAGATCCTGACTCCTGGACTCAGCAATTGCTGCATCTCTTCTCCATTCAGTGTTTCCATCTGAAGGCACCCAAGATCACTCTTATGCTTACATAAGAAAACACCTCATGAAGATCACCGACTTACCCTTTTGCCAGGTTCTCAATTCCCCAGTATTGCTCCATCTTCTGGTCACATTTTTTAAACACTTTTTTGCAGTTTTTTTCATCTGACTGGTCCCCACAATCATCATCCCCATTACAAAGCAGCCTCCGCGCGATGCATCTTCCTAGAATGCAAGGTATGAATTACTCAGAAAACAACCTATTCTCACACTTCCTGCTAGTTTTAAAAAAATCACAATCCCTGACTCAGAGTCTAGAATCAAAATAGATGACTCCTGTAACATATGGTTCAAAACTAGCTGGAAAAGATTCCCTCTCAGACTGCATGGAAAAACGTCAGATTTTTAATCACCAAAATCCTACCTGCTCCGTTTTGCTCAAAACTTTCACCATCTTAAAATTCCTTGCTCAACCTCAAAATAATAGAATCAAATCCCTAATTCAAAGTATAAAAATTAGAGAGAACAGAAAATGGGGCAAAGGAAGGTGACTCTGACCTCTGTCCCCCAGTCCCAGCACTCTGCTCCCTGCACACTTTGCTCTCCACTGCCAGGCTGCAGATGCAAAGCAGAGGCTGATCACATTTTGGACAAAGCAAACTGCTGCCCTGCTTCCTCACACTGCTTCGTGTCCCCAGCTAATTATTCATTGATATGGATGGAGGGATATACCATGAAGACCATTATAACCTCCTGTGCTCTTGGGCATGTGGCAAAGAGGCCCAGTGGATGCTCTGTTGCTGTCAGATCCACCTGTGCTACAGGTTTTACAGATATAACTGGGTCTTATTCCTATTTGGAGATTTTAAAGACATGCTTTAGACTGACAGACCTTGGCTAAGGGACTCAGAATCCCTGATGCAAACACAAGCATGGACAGACCCAGCTCAGCTCCTGACACCTCCTTCTCCCAGCAAACTCTTGTAGAAGCAGGAAGTTCAGCACGGTGGTGTCACAGATGCCACCTCAGCACCACCACTTCTTGCTCCCCAAGTCCTTACCTGTAACTGCACACACAAAACCATCACAGCGAACTTTACTCCTGCAAGGTTTGTTTGTGACACAATCTTCAGCTTCTCTGTCAGAGTCATCACAGGGATCTCCATTGAACTGAGAAGGTTGTTCCAGGCGGGCAAATCTGTACTGTGATGAAATAAAAAAATATTGACTCCAGGGAACAGTAATTGTGAATTTTACGCTTCCCCAGTTATAAAAACAAACTTTGTGTTGGGGAGATTTCATCTAAGAGTACTGGCATATAAAAAACAAAAGTGTCAGCAAAGAAGTGTGATGCTGGTAAAGTGCCCCGTTTCAAAGGTTTCTGATCTGCGACAGTTTTGATTTTACTAAGGAAGGATTGGGGATTGGAAGGGATGAAGGGAAGTTTGTTTTTCTTTGACAGGTTGTTTAAACGAGCCTGACAGGGTAGTGGGGGCATTTGCAAGAGTAAGGAAGGATTCAGTTGCATCTCCTCCCTTTCAATTAGCGCTGGTAACGACATCCCTTGTTATTTTCTGTCAGTGTATTTACTTGGCCCTCTGTATCATCAGGGATTTTTTTCCGCCCACATGACTGCTGTGAAGCAGTCAATTACTTCATCCAATATGTTAGCCCTCCTTTTTTTCCCCAGCTTTTAAGATTAACTCTTTGCTATGAAGCTTCGTTCTTCCCAGCTCCCAACACCGGTTATTCCTGCAGGAGACTGGGAATGGCTTCTCCAACTCGTTAGCGGAGGTCACTCTAGCAACAGGGATTTTGCTCTTCACACTACTGGAACCATCATGTTCATTCTCAGGTAGAAAATGCTCGTTGGCAGACAAGAAACAGCATCTTAATGCTGAGTGTCCCCAGGTCCCACGGGGCACCATGAGGGGGATGGTGCCTCGCACTGAGGCTGGAAGAAGAGGACCATGTGCTGGAGAGAAAGTCCCTGCAAAGCCCAGGTTTGCTGCCTGTGTTTTCACCAAGCCTGGGCTTACACCTTCTTAGGACAGTGAAGTGGCCTGGAAACCACTGGAGTTACTGAGGGTGAAGAGCTGAAAAGCTAAAAGCCACCTGAAAGCAGAAGCTCACAGTCTCACCAGAACAAGGTCTTCCTCAGCAGCTCCACAGTGTTTATCCACCCCCATGGACAAAAAAGACAAGGCATGGAAGAGGCCCGGCCTCCTGGCTTCTCAGGCTTCATGCCTAGACCACAAACACTCACCCTCTTCTTTTGACAGGGATCACACGTGCTCCAGGAGGACCAGGCAGAGAGCACACAGTCGCGGGGCTCTGGCCGGTTGCTCACAGACCGGGCCCGTCTGCTGCTGGTCACGCTCTCGTTGGTGCTACTGAGGTTGAGGGACTCCTTTTCACCACTGCATTCAACAATACAAGAGCTTCAGGGAGTGAAACCACCCAGCTATGAGGACAGAGCAATCTGACCTACACCTGTGCTAAAACTACACACCAGAGAACGAATACTTGTTGGACTTCACCAAATCTTTCGTGGGACCTCTCAATGTCAGTAATTGCTTTATGCTGGCACTGATTCTGTATGAAACTTGATCCACTCTTCCACGCCCAAGAGCAGACCCAGTCTTCTACATCACCACCATGAGAGTAAGTCTGCATAGCACACCAGGGGGTGACTGCAGGACATACACTTGATCTAGCCCACTGGAATCTCAACCCATGTCCCACCAACCTGAGCTTCACCTCAAGCTGTGCAAGCCCTACCAAACAACGTGGGGAAGTGGCCAGCAGTCAAATCTGCACCATCAGTTGCTGCCCGTGTCCCATCGCTCCCTGTGCCTGCTGTATGGGCAGCACTTTGGCACCTCACTGCTGTACATGATGCACAAGCTCCAAGGTCAGATACCTCCACGACAAACCCCAGCTGCAATGCTAGGGCTGGCCTGCACTCAGCATTTCTGAAAACCAGCTTAAGCACCTCCCTTTGCCAAGCAGCCTGCTTTTTCTCAAGCTGGCCAAACCCATCAGTCTTAGACTCTATTATCTGTTCACAATAGACAGTCATTAACCCATTAATCCCATTCATCCCAGTAATGAACCTGAAACCCAAGTGTGAGCCTTTACTCTTTTCTCCCACCCCTCACGTGACAACTGTCTCCAAGGTTTCCACAACACCACAGCCAAAATGCTGCCTACTCTTTTGGCAGATGCAGTATTTCTGATTAAATCCCCATCCCAGACAAATGCTTCCTTGTAGCACCTCATCTAAGTGGGAAGCTTTAGTAAAACATTGACCAGTAAACTACCACAGCAGCATTCCCAGTTCCTCCACTAAGACAAGGAACAGCACCAGCTGAAGCTTTAAGGATGATTCAGTGCCTGGCATGGGGCTCCTATCACTGGGTATTAAAAATCACATGGAATAAAGGAATTACAAAAACTCCTCAGCTCACTGAGGCAGGAAAGCAGGGTTTAAAGTTCAGAGAACCGTGGAAAAATATAGTCAGACTGGAAAGAGTACAGTCAGTGACTGACTGAAGTCCTCTCAAAGAGCACTATCTATTAAGCCAGTAGGGAAA